TAGCTCCTTTGCTAACAGTGAGAGTTTACACACAATATGGAGTCTTAGCAACAGCTGGTAACAATATCAACTGGGTTGGAACCAGTCACTAAATTCATCCCGTAAATATTAATGGGAATTGTATGTGATTGCTAGTAATTCCTGTCACTTCTTGTGAATTTGGGAGATACTAATCAGCTTTTACTTGCTAAAAACAAGTAGCGGCTAGCCAGTAGCACTAGGGACAAAGCAAGTGTTGGATTTCTGGGGTAAATGTTTCCAACGTCTGAGCATAATTTGCTTATTGTATGTCATAAACACCATTTGCCATCGCTATATAAATGTTTCTCTTAAATCACTTGTGAGTTTTCTACGCCACCATAACTGATTAGAAATGGATGTCAGCCTCTAATGTAACCAGGCGTTTATGTCGAAGCCTTTCTTTCAGATGGAATGTCAATGGTAGCATTCATTTATTTTCCCACAAGAATAACGCTAGTGAATTGAAATAGAAAAATAATAGTTTTAGTTCACAAACCCTGAAATTACTTAAAATTCTTTACATTTATAAGATCTAAAACAGATACCACTTAAAGTGAGACAAATACTTTTACTAAAACAACTTTTTTTCTCTTGTAGAAGCGAAGTTCAGATGATGCTGAGAACCCAGATCCCACCCCTAGAAAACCCTGGAAGCTTTCTAACAAGGTGTGTGAAAATGATATCAGACCCCATAGTCCTTGTTATATTACAGGTAGTCACCGAAGAAAGAGAAAAGTCCAGGCACCCCAAGACTTAGAAAAAGACCCTCGGATCGAAACGTAGTTGCTGGTCACTGAAGTTCAATAAGATGCCCATCTAAGCCTTGGGGTGCCTGGACCTTTATCTTTCTTCAATGCCTACAAGCTCCTTCTTGGGCCTTGGTGCTGGCCCCAGGTTTGATTTATTTATGGATTGAAAGCAGTTCCAATTTTTGTTTTCTGGTTTTATTATATTAAATGATCCACGGTACGCCAATCCCGCTTAGCAAAGTAAACAAGATTCACTTTATTATATTTAATGGACTGATCTTGTGATAGTTCTCCCCCAACTAACATAATTGAAGAGAAAGAAAAACAATGCAGGGCACATCTAGAGCTTTCTATCTAAAAAAATAAAGATTAAAATGGATCTAGATACAGTTAGGACCTGGCGCAGTCTCTGTAATTAACTTCGACCTGGTGCTATAATCTGGCCAACAGTATAGAAAGTCTGATACATCATTAATTGCTTATCAACAAACATCAAATTCCTCGCCACTTCCTCTTCCTGTGATACATGGACATTTGACAATGAATCCGACACAATTCGCTTGGTACTATGTGTTTGATGTTGTACAACAAATAAGGCCTTTTGTGATTTTAAAATGTAAAGATGAGTGTGCTATCTATAACTTGCTATTTGCCAGAGAAGAAGTGTTACTAATTGTGAACATGAATCATATACTATGGTCACTTTAAGAAAGAGGTTTGGAGAGACCAGAGACTGTTTGTATAATGACACATGCCTCGATGTCCGCATTAATGAAATTAATTAATGGTAACATCACAACGTACTTCCATCATCACATCTGTATGTAATTTGGCATTTGTCGATAAAAGCCAGCCAAAAGCATGCATCAAACGTGGTGTATCGGCCTGTGTGCTGTTAGTGGGTGGAAATTCCCACCATTACACAAAATATTCATTTAATAAATGGAGTTAACACTATCTGTTTATTTTATCTCTCTCTCTGACACTGGAATGGGGAGGGAGTTGGCCTGTGTCTAAAGAATACTGGAATTCATGTTGATTTAACTGCTAGAAAACCTTTAAAATTATTTATCTATAGAAGTCACCATTACAGCGTGTTGGGATTTTTGTAGCTAAATAATTTGGAACGTTTTTCTAACACATTGGAATCATTTGAAAAGCGTATTCAAAAATATTAAGTGAACTGTGATATTGACATTGATTTATTATGTTTGGATAAACTTTTCAAATTATTTAATATTTTCAATTAACTTTATTTTTTCAAGATATTAAAATATCTGAAAAATATCAAAATATTAAAATATCTAATCCTATATCATATATAAATAATATATTAATATCTGAAAAATATCCAAATATTAAAATATTTTTCCAACTATTAAATAATTTGAAATGTTTTTCCATAAATATTAAATCATATAAAAAGATTATTAAAACAATTATTAAATCGAGGCCCTGGTGGCGTGTTGTTTGGAGGCACATAGAAGTACTGTAGTACACTACTTTTATTGTTTTAGTAGTTTAGTCTATTTCAGTGTCGTTTAGTAATGGGTTGAGCTGCCTATTCTCCATTTCATTATGAATTAATACACTCAAGGCTATGATTTTTGTTTTTCAACAAAGCATGTTTTTATGTATTGCAGGCTGTCTTTATCATTATTGGAGTAGTTGTACTCATTTTGCTGATCACGTTGATTTCAATTCTTGCTACAATGTGAAGGAGACGTGTGGAAGACCAGACGCTGATTCTAAATCCACTGATCATCTGAAAGTTCTAATGTCTTCAGGGACAAAGTACAGTCTGCAAAATCCTATATCTTATATGAATTCACATTACGTGTCTCATTCACACTTGACTTACATCTAATTATCGAATTACATCTAAAAGGTCGATCATATTTTGTGCGAAAACCAAACAGAAATCAGATTTGAGAAACATTTATTGGAGTCGCTTGGTATCTAGGATCATGGCCGACTCCAACAAAATAGATTTCCCTCAATGATTAATTTAATGATTTGCATTATTCTCCGGTCAAAATCCCCTTTGAAGATGTGTAGATCTAGAATGTGACCAGGCGAATAGGAAATTTGCTGAATGCTTTCACACAATCTGGAGCTAAGGGTTATTAGTTAAGAGCTGGTTTATGCTCAAACTACCTTGATTTTTAAAATCTTGATTTAGTGATGATAAACGCAAATTATTATAGAAAAACCCATAAAATAGAAATATATTAATTACATAATTACTAAAGTGAGTTAAATCAGAGTTTCTTAAATTCTAACATTCTCTGTCCTGCAAACCCAAACTGCAATGTATGTTGAGTCCCTGAAATACGAGTCTTATGGATATAACAACTGTGCTCTGCACAAAATATCCGATCATTTCACTGTAGTAACGGCTAGGAGGGGAATGCACAGCAGCCTCTTCTATAAGGTCACTTTCCACTGCACGTAGTGGCGAGCAATATGGAAAGTGTACTAACAGAGTATTGAACTCAGATATAACCAGTTTATATGATCAATGATCAGCAACCTAATTTGTGTCATTAAATAAAGACAATTAATTGTCCAGCACTTCAATTTTAAACTTACAGTTCAGGACAGGAGTGTGCCTAGACCAAATATTTACATCTAATTAACTCATTCACATGTTTGACAAGCACTTCCTGTTTTGAAAACAAATACTCACAAAACACAAATAACATGTAAATATATAGTAAAAAAACTAAACTTTTTTTGTACAGTTTGTATTTCAGTAAAAAACAAAAAATAAAATGATGCAGGTTAATACAATTTTCATTTTCCATTTATTTATTGGAAAAGATACATAGATAATGTACTTATCAAATGGGATGGTGGACGCTCTCTTTAAATAATGTTTTTGAATATATTAATTTTAATGAGTATGGTCTTAAATTTATGGCAGAAATTGGCGAATATCAAATACATTTTGTAGATCTCACTGTTTTTATATAATGGAAGGACATGCATGTAATAAGACTTATTTTAAAACATTTATAATTTATCCTTATTTTCTTTAATTAGAATCTTCACATTTACATCTTTCTTTCATCAATTTATATGCCATAAAATTGTAAGTAAATGTATCGTATCATTAGGAAAAAGAACATCCAGTAAATATCTAACACAATCTAAAATAATCATGAATGTAATATCTGACAGAAAACATTTACATACCAAAAAAAGAAAAGCAGAACATACAGACTAACAAAAGGATGTTTGAACTCAACATGAGACCAAAACTGTCTGGGGACAGCCATACCAATCTGTCTCGATAGTGTATTTTGTGTAGGAAATCCTTGTGCCTGAACTAGTTGTGTTCCATTGTATAGTGAAACTCAGTTTGTTCTAGACTTTCTCACCAAGACCGAGCTATGCAGATCTTAACTGCAAAGAATATGTGTGTAAGTATACATTTTTTTTTCTGAGATGGAAAATCTATATTTAATAAGAAAAGGTGGGAAGAGATTTTTTTCAGGAAATACGTTTTTTGTTTAAATTGAGTAGCTGATCTTTTGTCGTCTGTAGCTCACTACATTCCCACCATATGTGATACATTGTACCACCATCTTGGCCACATCTTCAACAGTTACTTGGGTGGATTCCAGTTTATCTGTTGACCCTGCCAGTATTTGAGTTTTTTTTAATGTTAATTGTATAGTTTGAATATTTGCTATAAGTCTCTATAGTATTTAGTGCAGCTGGAATTGAAGTTAAAGGGTCTGTCAGGGTGAGAAGTATGGGTACCGACCTCCTCATCATGGCCGCGCGTTCTGGTCAGTGCGAGTCGTCATTTCCGGTTCGCATCATCAAGAAGGGAGGTGAATTCAGCCTCATATATTCCTTATTATCATGTGTATTTTGTTCTGTATGGATGGGTGTTTAGACACACTGGGATATACCATTTGTATATATCTTACCTGATTTCTAGCGCCATCTCCTGCCTTTTTTTTATGCATTCATGACAGGCACGCATACACAATCACTAACAAGACACATATGCACACTCACTGACAAGACACACACACTGACAGAAATTCATACACACTCAATGACAGATGCACACTCACTCAGTGTCAGGCACACACACACTGAGACACACATATACTAACTGACAGATACACATTGACAAACACTCACTGACAGACATATATACACTCAGTGTCAGACACACACACACACACACACACACACACTCACTGTCAGACACACATGTTCACTGCCAGACACACATACACTAGATGACAGGCACACACTGGCAGACATGCACATTCCCTGACAGACACACACTGTCAGTGACAGACAAATACTCTCAGTGACAGACACGCATAAACACACTGACAGACATGCATACACACACTGACTCACTCATACACACTGACAGATATGCATACACACACTTACACACTCATACACACACCTTCACTGACAAACACACATACACACTGTGATGGAACTCCATCACCGAGTATCATACCCACATGTGCCCACTCACTTGCCTGCTTATTGTTTGCAAATCATGTTTAGGCTTGAGTAGAAGATTGTGCTTGTCTAATTCTAAATATGATAAAAATGAGGCTTGAGTATTGATCGGTGGGTGGGTATTACTGTCTCTTGTGGACATGATATTGAAACACAAAGGTTTGTTTGTCCTCTAAAGCTGAAGATCATTAACATATCACATGCCTTTCTATCTAGGAGGTAATCAAGACATATGCCAAATGGGAAAGTTAGTTTGTGCTGAAGCTAGACTTCCAGGCCACTTGTATGTGACTTCCTACATTGGGCAGAGTGGCTCTGTTGGGGGTCCCACCTTCAAAGAGGAACTGGGTTGTAAGCTCTGACCTTCCATGCAAACAATTAAACCCTTTTGAAATAATAAAATATGGTAGTGGGTTGTTTGGAACTATTGTAGATTTTCCTGTACCTGAGGGATAATTAAATTAAAGTGGTTTCCTCATGTAATTATCTCTCAGGCACAGAGGATCTTGGGAAAAAAAGACCCTGTATGTTTGTGTTGGATACCCCTTGCAGGCGGCTTTGCATAAAAAGGCAGTATGTGGCCCTGAATAAAGACAGTCTACTCCAAGCATTAAGTCAAGGTTAACGTATGGGGGGAACAGCTATACTGCTCTATTTACTTGCTATACCTGCTATACTCTCTGTAGGAGAGCTCTAACCACTGGGAGCTGGATCCAGGGCTTGGGCCAAGGGTGGGAAGAGGCAGCGAGACCCCAGCCAAGCTAAGGTAGCTGGGGGCTGGAAGTGCTTATCGTGTCCCGGTGAAGTGCTTATGGACACACTCTCAGTAACACTCACTAACAGACACACACACACGCTCTCATTAACACAAACAACACTAACTAACAGTCAAAATCTCACTAACACACACACACACACACACACAGACACACACACACACACAATATCACTCACTAACAGACACACTCTCATTAACAAACACACACACTCACTAAGAGACACACACACACTAACACACTCACAATTTTAAAACATTTTTGGGAGTGCTGTAGTGGATTCTTCCCTGGGGTCCAGCTCGGGTCGCTGCAGCTCAGCTGACAGAGCATGCAGGCACGGGAGTGGGCAGTGGTTGGACAGGCAGGCTCACATTGGAGGCAGGTGGCAATGGAGCTCCTTTGCGTCCCTCCAGCCTGGGGCTAGAGTTACAACATATCCTGGCTCCGGCTTCACTGTGGTGTGCGCGGCTACAACCTGAGCAGCTGCCCACCTTGAGTGGGGCCTGAAGTGGCCAGCCAGCCATCTCTTGGGCCCCCCAGGACAAGAGGCTGACAAGGCATCTGCCAGCGCATTTGGTGGCTGTTTTTTTGCCGACCCCCTGAAAGTGCCGCCCAAGTCAAATGCCTTGTCAGCTTTGCGCTAAATACAGTGCTGGGTTTAGCACTGGTACTCTTTTACATGCACCGCACATCTACACCTTGTTTATATAAGTATACACTTACAGACATGATATAAATGTATATATAGTTTTGACTACATATCTTTACTGTATTATTGCATATATTAATAAATGGTGCAGCCGAGAGGGTGCCTGTACACGCATGCTCCCGCCTCGTAGTGGCACGAAGATTTGAGTATTTAAAGCAAAGACCAGTGAAACAAATCCACAGCTGCTGAGGAAGTCCCGAATGCTAAGGGACGAAACGCGTTGAGCCAGGCAAGTCAAAGAAGATATTGATGTCTTGCTCTCTTACTAGAGATATCCATCACCAGGGACGCCTCCTGAGGACAGAATGGAGTACACGTCACTGTGATCTACCTACACTTTCTGTCCGATTTGCACTTTTAAAACTTATTTTTATTAGATTAGTGCCATAGTATTGTGTAAGCGTTTGTATGCCAGTTTTATTTATTTCATATTTGTAAATATATGTGTTGTTCCATAATCATTTCCTTTTTCCTTTTGTCCCTTTTTATATGTGAGCTACATACAGCTGCAGGAGTGGTGATTGTATTTTACCGGTACATTCACTGTTTTATTAGTTCTCTTCCTATTTGACATTTGTGGTGGTATTTGGTGCCCTCTAGTGTTTGTTGATAGCACTCCTTTTTAAAACTTTTAAAGATATTTTAGCTTTGACCAACTTGACCACCTACCACACTTATTATCACTAGTGATGTCCCGAACGGTTCGCAGAACGGTTCGCCATGGATGGCGAACATATGCGCTGTTCGGTCCGCCCCCTATGTCATCATTGAGTAAACTTTGACCCTGTACCTCACAGTCAGCAGACATATTCCAGCCAATCAGCAGCAGACCCTCCCTCCCAGACCCTCCCACCTCCTGGACAGCATCCATTTTACATTCATTGTGAAGCTGCATTCTTAGTGAGCGGTCCAGGAGCGGGAGGGTCTGGGAGGGAGGGTCTGCTGCTGATTGGCTGGAATGTGTCTGCTGACTGTGAGGTACAGGGTCAAAGTTTACTCAATGATGACGAATAGGGGGCGGACCGAACAGCGAATATGTTCGGCGAACCGTTCGGGACATCACTAATTATCACATGTGTTATTTGTTTTTTTAATACAATTTATTAATTCAATCTTTTTAATGTTAACAAGAAGTAATATAAATATCACAAATATTATACCATATGGGAAATGAAAAGCTTACGACAGTATACAGCCTCTTTTATATTGCAACATTTCATACATGGTCTGAAATAGTAATATAAATGCTAAAATAAACTTTTTCTCACATACCATGAAAGCATTACTAGCAAAACAGCTTACTAAAATAGCAACAGAATGAAAAAAAAGTTTGGATTTGAGTATAATGTCCATGTACTTTATATGCTGGTAAGTTTCTCTATCTTTCTCTTTTTCTAAAGTAATTGTAGTTAATTCAATGAATAAAAATATAAATATTTTGGACACTAATATTATGTTATCAGGGAACTGTAGGAATTGCGAGGCCCATTAAAACTTCCTTTACTGTTTGGAAGAAGAGGCTAACTGACATTTTAGCGTACTTGCTGGCATTAAATAACTGATCAGTGGCTTTCAGCTGAGAAATTAGTTTTTCTACAGGCTGGTCATCATACGTGGAGTAAAAATAAGTGAGGCTTTATGGATATATTTCATTCTGTAATTTTCACGTATATGAAAATAAAAGCTTTTCTACTAATTTCTGGAAGTGTAGCAGTTGAGGAACACCTATAGGGCAAGAAACATAGCTATTAAAGTTATTAAAATAATATATATATATAAAATTATATATAGTTTTATTTTAAACAAGTTGCTGGCATATAACTCGGTAGACTATAAAGAACCCTTAGCACACTAATTCATGCCAAAATGATTTGAATTGATACAGTTAGTACATCAAACAGTTAATATAGTGTATAAAGTGCACATATATTAAGTGCATAACCACCAAATGTATACACTATAAGCAAACATCAATAAGGTAAAAACAAATTACCCAATAAATGACCTATCACATGTTCTGACCTAGACTCCCCAACATTTGGGCTGTGTCTTCTTCCGGGGGATCTTTATAGTTTTCATATATGGTCTTGGTGTGGTAACAAGGCTGTTATTCCCATTTTTAGCCCCCTTTCTCATTGGGTGCTGTTTCACTGGGTTCAGCAAACTTTTCTTGTGCTCACTATATATTTTGTATCGATATAACTAGGGAGAGCAAGACAGCTTACTAGGCCCCCACTAAAATACATTTAAAAATATTAGCAAATACAGGAATTAATCAGCACTAATTTGTATGATCCGAAAAGACACCACCATTCTCATTAAAGGGAAACTATATTGCTAGGAAACAAAAACTAGTCTTCCCGGCACTATAGCTTCCCCTTTGTCAAGGTCCCCTCCCCTTCCTCCCCTGTGGCGCAGAAGGGATAAAAACCCTTCCTGTCACTTTATGACATTGGATCCAGCGCCAATATCCCTCGCTACTGGCTCGGTTCGGCCTCCTCTCCTTCGGCTTGGGAGATCTAAGGAGCAGATGGAATGCAATGCTGCAAAGGCTGCTCTCGCATTGGTATTTCCCCATGTGAAATCATTATTCAATGTTTTCCTATGGGGTTTTTGGTGACGCTGGACGTCCCCATGCATAGGGTGAGGACACGCAGCATCAGAAAACAGCACAGAAGTTTCTTAAACACTGCAACAATTACCTGCTCAGGGTTAAGGGACCTGGGACAGTGCACCCAGACCCCTTCATTGAGCTAAAGTGGTCTGGTGCCTATGGTGTCCCTTTAACTAAATTAGAAACTCTGTGAAAATGCTTGCAGGGATCCAAGTTGAGCAATGTATTAAAATAACCACTAGTACCTGTATAAATGTTGTAGTAACAAAATAGAGTCCCCCAAAAGAGCTCTGGCTGATGTTAAAAGTTATGGTAATTAAAGAATAATGATCTGGAGGATACAATGATCAGGAACTTAGTGCTTTGTTCATGTTTCAGGGAATATGCTCCCTAGAGAGAAACATGATATGAATATATAGGTAAAATCAGCTGCACCAACAGACACACTGCTCCGATCCGAGCCGGAAGGTATGTCCGTGTGTATGAGAGGGTGGTGTTAGATGTTATCTAATGAGTATCCAGTAAAACAGTATCTCATAAATGAGTGAAATAAAATATATAAAAAGTTAAATATAACTTGATAAGATTCCATAAAGCTTAAATCAATACTGTTAGAATACCAATGTGTAGAAGTCCCAATGCTTCCGATAATTATAGTCTCTATTTGATACAATTATCAAAGCAATGTGATGATACAGTTTATGCAATGTTAGCTAGTATCAGTTAGCTCCAGCTATTAGACCAGCTGGGGTTTGTCTATTGAACGAGCTATTTGTATATAGTGCAATACCAATGATGTCTTCTTCAAATGTTGTGGTATCAATAATATGTACACTGTATATAAATAAATAGTACTGTAAGTTATGGATAGTACTCTTAAGTTATGGATTTGTCCTCAGTTCTACAAATAAAAAAAGTGGAGATCCATAGTGTTTACTGAGTAGAACATTTTAATGAAATTGCTGAATTAAAAATGCACTCACAATTTGCAGAATTCTACCAAGTGTTGATGGAAAAACGAATTGCTGGGGGCAGTTTTCACGGTCCTGCAGTTCGGCCGGTAGATGAAAAAGCTGTATGGTGCCGTGTGCGTACACTATGGATCTCCACACTTTATTTCTTTGTAGAACGGAGGACAAATCCATAACTTAAGATCACCATATATGATCTTACAGTACTATTTATTTATATACAGTACTTAGTTATATACAGTGTACATATTATTGATACCACAACATTTGAAGAAGATATCATTGGTATTGTACTATATACAAATAGCTCGTTCAGTAGACAAACCCCAGCAGGTCTAATAGCTGAAGCTAACTGATACTAGCTAACATTGCATAAACTGTATCATCACATTGCTTTGATAATTGTATCAAATAGAGACTATAATTATCGGAAGCATTGGGACTTCTACACATTGGTATTCTAACAGTATTGTTTTAAGCTTTATGGAATCTTATCAAGTTATATTTAACTTTTTATATATTTTATTTGACTCATTTATGAGATACTGTTTTAACTCTTAAAGGCAAATATCATCCACCACTCCTGGATATCAGTATAAGATTGATGTCAGTCTGTGTGAATGTTAGCAATAAGGTAAAAACAAATTACCCAATAAATGGTTGATGTCAGTCTTTGTCTATGTTATCAGTATGAAATGTTATCATTTTCAGAGAAAATGCAGTGTTTACATGATAGACTAGTGATACTTCCACTGGCCACTCATCACATGGCTACAAGAGCTGCTTCCAGGGGTAGAAAGTCTTGTAAAGTAAGGAGCAATGATGATATGTAAAGCTGGTTATAGAATAAAATAACGACAGTTTGTGTGTCTCAGCTAAATGGTGGACATTGGCAATTCACTTAGATCACATTATTATTATTATGATATTTATAGAGCGCCGTCAAATTCTGCAGCGCTTTACATCAAAGAATGTGACAGCAGATAAAAACCATTCGGCCCATCTAGTCTGCCCAATGTTCTAAATACTTTCATTAGTCCCTGGCCTTATCTTATAGTTAGGATAGCCTTATGCCTATCCCACGCATGCTTAAACTCCTTTACTGTGTTAACCTCTACCACTTCAGCTGGAAGGCTATTCCATGCATCCACTACCCTCTCAGTAAAGTAATACTTCCTGATATTATTTTTAAACCTTTGTCCCTCTAATTTAAGACTATGTCCTCTTGTTGTGGTAGTTTTTCTTCTTTTAAATATAGTCTCCTCCTTTACTGTGTTGATTCCCTTTATATATTTAAATGTTTCTATCATATCCCCCCTGTCTCGTCTTTCCTCCAAGCTATACATGTTAAGATCCTTTAACCTTTCCTGGTAAGTTTTATCCCGCAATCCATGAACCAGTTTAGTAGCCCTTCTCTGAACCCTCTCTAAGGTATCAATATCCTTCTGAAGATACGGTCTCCAGTACTGTGTACAATACTCCAAGTGAGGTCTCACCAGTGTTCTGTACAATGGCATGAGCACTTCCCTCTTTCTACTGCTAATACCTCTCCCTATACAACCAAGCATTCTGCTAGCATTTCCTGCTGCTCTATTACATTGTCTGCCTACCTTTAAGTCATCAGAAATAATCACCCCTAAATCCCTTTCCTCATATGTTGAGGTTAGGACTCTATCAAATATTCTGTACTCTGCCCTTGGGTTTTTACGTCCAAGATGCATTATCTAAAACTTATCCACATTAAATGTCAGTTGCCACAATTCTGACCATTTTTCTAGTTTACCTAAATCATTTGTCATTTGGCTTATCCCTCCTGGAACATCAACCCTGTTACATATCTTAGTATGATCAGCAAAAAGACAAAGTCATTAATCAACTACTGAATTAGTTGTGATCTTTGTCACTCAATATACTGTATAGTTGTATGAGTTTGAGTATTAGATTGACACATTTTGCACTGCTCTATAATGAAAAAATAGAAATACTATATGTATATATAATAAATTGAATAATTTTTAAAATATATAAAAGGATTCTCCCTAAGAAATACTGTATTTTTTCTCTCCCATCGGCTAGGGCTTCCACTACTGAAAGACACCATCACAGATACCATCACAATGATGCCCTTCTAATGAAATACATAGAAATATGGAACATTCCATAAATACACAGTAACTGTATCATCTGCTGTTGCCAAGTGACTCCTTGCCAAAATAATCTTCTAATGTTCATTATTACCTCAAATTCACCTACTTCCTGAGATTGCTCAGTGCTGTCCTCAGTACAAGGGAGAAATGATATCTCATGAGAGAGGTTACAGTCTGATATCTTAATATTATTCTTACCATGAGATTTTCTGGACTGACTGACAATACTAGTGTCTCTCGCTAGTTTCTCTTCTTTCAACTGACTAACGGACAAATGATCCACAAATTAATAAATCTAATTATATAATGATATTGTAAGATTGGCTAATACAAAGTTTGCTTTGTCTTCATGAATAAAGATTTCTACATTTTCTGTAGATTAATTTGTTGATCAAATAATATCAGAAAAGTTATGACATGAACAGCTCTAACATATCATAACTCTGCGATGGGAAGAGACCTTCACACCAATGTGACAGAGTTTATCTTCCTGGGATTTTCTGATTTATCTAGTTCACTCCAGTCCATTCTTTTTAGTTTTTTCCTCTTTGGCTATATCCTTACATTACTAGGAAATGGTCTAATCATCCTGACTGTTACATCTGACCCCGTGCTTCATACCCCTATGTATTTCTTTCTGAGGAACCTATCACTGCTTGAGCTGATCTATACCACAGTCACCATTCCCAAAGTACTTGAAGATTTCTCGTCTAAGAAGAGGTCCATCTCCTTTACTGGTTGTGCTGTTCAGATGTTTATTTTCTTCGCTGCAGGAGTTTCAGAATGTGTTTTCCTTGCAGTGATGGCCTTTGATCGATATGTGGCTATCTGCCACCCTCTAAGGTATATGTCTGTTATGAACAGAACCTTGTGTTACAAACTGACTGTCGGATCATGGGCGATGGGAGTTTTTGAGTCTTTGAGAGATACAACCTTCATCTTCACTTTGCCTTATTGTAATTCTAACTACTTAAATCATTTCTTCTGTGATATCCCCCCACTGCTCAGCCTGGCTTGTACCAACACATTCATCAATGAACTCTCTGTCTTTATGGCTTGTCTTGTGGGGGCCACAATCCCATTTCTTCTCATTCTTTGTTCATATATCAACATTCTGTCATCTATAATGCGGATACACTCAGCAGAGGGTCGTCATAAGGCATTATCCACGTGTGGATCTCATCTGACCTCTGTTATTTTATTCTATGGAGCGGCCATGTTTATGTATTTACGTTTAGGGACCCAGGGTTCGACTGGCAATGATAGAATGATAGCTCTTTTCTACTGTATGGTAATTCCTGCCATTAATCCCCTGATCTACAGCCTACGAAACAAAGACATGAAGACAGCTCTACTAGAGCTAACATTGCAGACTGTGAATAGATCCAAAAGACAAACTTTCTGATTGGACTCCTCAGAGACTGTACGTAAAATGTATCATTGAATGTAGCATTAAATAGTAACACATTTCAAGCACAATAATAAGGCTGCAAAATATAACAAACCTAAGAAATTTAATTTACAGTTGGATTTTTTTTGTTATTTTTAAATTACAGAATTTTAATTAAAGAGAAATAACATTATGTTGGTCAAATATTTGTATTAATTTTTAGAACCTTTGTTTCCAAAACATACAATAAATTAAAATAAAAAAATTATGAAAAGCAAACATTTGTTTATATGAGAGAAATTCTTTATCTCTTTGCACCATTCATCTTTATTGTTTCCTTTTTCTTTGTTATTTTCTATATCTGCATCGTAAAGGACTGTAGGTTATACTGGCAATATATATATATATATATCTGTTAAAAGGCCATTTGGCCTGTATTTGTGGGAGGAGTTATGACCCCTATATAAACTCCTACCCCCCTACTCACCTTTGCCGTTCAAGCTGTTTGTCCCAGCACATCCGGTCCATAGTTCCCGCCAAAATTCCAGCCTCCAGTATCAGTTTGTCGCCAGCAGCTCTCCTGCCTCCGATCTCCGTGCCTGCCAACCGTCTTCTTACTGACATCGCTACCCGGCCTCCGGTCTCGAGACTGGATTGTCCACGTAAGCACAAGGTGGGAAATACCGTTCGGCTATTTCCCACGTTCGGGTCTAAAAACGCGGGGATAGGCTCCCTTCATAATACTTACCCGTTCGTTCATTTTCACCCATTCGTGTACTTCTGCGGTTCTAACAGCCTACCAGAGAGTACACACACCTTTGTTTGTTCTTTCGTATAAGTAAACTGCTGACTGCACTAACATACTCACATTCGTCTATTAATTCGTATGGTTAAACAGCCGACCGCTATGTACAAGTCTTTTGTTTATTATATCATGTGGCCCATTAACCGAGCGCAGATATTTATTTTCTGCTTACAGTCCTCTCTGTTCGTTTGTTTAGCCGAACGCAGGATTTCATTATGTCATTCGTTTAAACGAAATAATTCACCTTTCACTTTTTCTGCATCCTATATTTTAATGTGTTAAGCATATGGCTCATCAGTTACTACTGGCTAATATATATTTAATCTGTTTTTCACTATTCCTCGACTATGGTCATGTTAATTTATGGGACACTTAATTTTCACCTAGGGGAAATCTTCTTAACGGCATGGTCAAGCCATAATCACTTAATAAGTAAGGTATACTAAATACACCACTAGGCACCAGTATTTACTCCGGTTGGAACTTAGTCTCTCATATTAAAAATTAATTTCCTTTTCCCTAATTCACAAACTAGTCTTTCTGCTTAACTAAGTTTGCTCCGTTACACTACGTCTTTATCTTTGTTTGGCATGCCATAGGTTAAATCTCTGTGTCCTAAAACCTTATATACTGGTTCGTTATACTTAGTATGCGTATGTTTTTAGGCTCTACTACATTTCCTTCTAACAGTCTCCAGGAAATGTTATCCCAGTATCATGTATTACTGTATCAGGTAAGTTTTTGTTTTCCAGTTGAATTTGTCTTCCTCTGAGGCCTCATCCAGCCTCCACGGCCTCATTCAGCCTCCACCTCCCCCCCCCCAACCCTCCAAGGTGAGTTCTAAACTTCTAACTGGGCCCCGGCAAAGACCCTAAGCTACGATTTCTACGACAATCACCTCCTAAAGCAACACCACTTTGATACTACTAATTGTAACGATACATTGATTGTCTTTCGTTTCTACATTTCATTACTTCAAGTTCTACGTCATCAACCACTCACTCTTTCAAGTAGGAGTTAGAAAACCAGGAGTTACTTGGAGTGGTTTGTATACTGTGGAGAGTGGTTTGTATACTGTGGAGAGTGGTTTGTTTTTTATTTTTATTTTTTTAAATTTACTTTTTTTTTGTGTTCTGGTTTCCCCCCCCCTTTTTTGTGTGCTGCTGCTTGATTGATTGGGGGAGTGTTTATTAATTACACCTGTGTGGGATTTGTATCCCCATAAAGGCACACCCCTAACTCACTGAGCTTGCTCACATTATTTGAAAGCAGCCTCTATTAAGTAGACTCTTTCAAGTAGGAGTTAGAAAACCAGGAGTTCAAACTATCAAGGTAATTGTTTTTATTTACTGTTTAAAGGGGAAATGAGTGTTAGCAAGATTGCTGGTTTGACTCAATGCACATCTTGTTACATGTATGGATGCCTGGATGTACCCATCCAGGGTCCATACCTCTGTGATGGTTGTGTGCGAGTGGCTTCTCTGGAAGCTCAGATTGGAGATCTTGAGAAGCAAATCGCAACATTGAGGGAGATTGATAATCTTGAGAGGAGTCTACTGCTCACTGAGCAGAGTTTAGTGGGGACAGGTAGTGGAGAGGGAGGAGATAAGACAGATGGGGAACAGGCATGTAGCTGGGTGACAGTGGGGCGAGGAAGCAGGGGGGGAGGGAAGAGGAAAGGGCTAGCTAGTCCTGATTTGGTGCAACCTAGCAGATTTGCCCGCTTGAGGGAAGATGTTGGGAGCATCAGCTCAGGAGTAGCTGTATTAGAGGAAGCTGTTACTTCTAACAGCCGAGCTAACAGCCCCCCTAGTACGGGTGGGGATCAAAATGTAAGGAAGGCAAGACAGGTTGTGGTGGTAGGGGACTCTATCATTAGGAGAGCAGATAGGGCAATCTGCCGCTCTGATCGGCTCAACCGGACAGTTTGCTGTCTCCCGGGTGCTCGGGTCCGGCATGTTGCTGACAGAGTGGATGGATTATTGGGAGGGGCTGGGGATGACCCAGTGGTCATGGTCCATGTTGGTACCAATGACAAAGTAAGAGGAAGATGGAAGGTCCTAGAGAATGATTTCAGGGAATTAGGTAGCAAACTTAAGAAAAGGACCTCCAAGGTGGTATTCTCTGAGATATTACCTGTGCCACGCGCTACAGTGGAAAGGCAGCGGGAGATTAGAGAGGTCAATGCGTGGCTTAAGTCTTGGTGCAGGAAGGAGGGTTTTGGGTTTTTAGAGCACTGGGCCGACTTTGCGATTGGGTACAACCTTTATAGTGGTGATGGATTGCACCTAAACGGGAGAGGGTCTGCAGTGCTGGGGGATAGGATGGCTAGAAGGTTGGAGGAGATTTTAAACTAGTAGTAGGGGGGGAGGGTCATAGCAATCTACAAAATGGAGATAGGACAGAAAGGAGATGGGCTTTAGCACAGTATAAGGGGGGTGGAAACGGGGGGAGGGGCAAGCTCAGAACAGAGAAGCTGTGTAATGTTGAAAATTCACAAAATATACAAGTGACGCATAATATTAAATGTATGCTTACTAATGCAAGGAGCCTAAATAACAAAATGGGGGAACTAGAGGCATTAGCATACACTAAACAATATGATATAATAGGCATAACTGAAACATGGTGGGATGAGACACATGACTGGGCAGCTAACTTAAATGGGTACATGTTATTTAGGAAGGATAGGAAAAACAAGAAGGGTGGTGGGGTATGTTTGTATGTCAAACATGATTTAAAGCCAAATGTTAAGCAAATGGAATGTGAGGAGGATAATGTGGAAGCTTTATGGGTAAATATCTGCTTGGGGGAAAAGAAGGGAAACCAACTATTGGTTGGGATATGTTATAAACCACCTAATGTTAATATTGACGAGGAACAACAGCTGTTTGAGCAAATTGAGAAAGCTGCAAATCTGGGTAACACTTTAATTATTGGAGATTTTAATTACCCGGATATAAATTGGGACAGAGGGACTAGTGCCTCAGCAAAGGGAATTAGGTTTTTAAACTTGTTAAATGACACCTTCATGTCACAACTTGTACAAGCACCAACTAGAATGGATGCTTGTCTGGACCTGGTTTTAACAAACAACGTTGATCTTTTGACCAACATTCAAGTAGGTGAGCACTTGGGAAATAGTGATCACAATATAGTGTCCTTTGAAATAAACTCAAAAAAACAAAAGCACATGGGGAATACTAAAACATATAATTTTAAAAAGGCCAATTTCAATAAGTTAAGGGAAGCTTTACAATATATTGACTGGCATAAACTCTTTAGTGAAAAGAACACTGAGGATAAATGGATCATCTTCCAACAAATATTACAAAGGTACATTTCTCAGTATGTACCATTGGGAAATAAATATAAAAGAAACAAATTAAAACCAACATGGCTTAGTAGAGAAGTAAAACAAGAGATTACAACTAAGAGAAGGGCATTTAAAGCATTTAAATCGGACAAATCAGATGCATCTTATAAAAGATATAAGGATGCAAATAATGCGTGCAAAAAGGCAATTAGACTTGCTAAACTTCAAAATGAAATAATGATAGCTGAAGAGAGCAAAACCAACCCCAAAGCATTTTTTAAGTACATAAATTCTAAAAAAAAACAAAATGAAAGTGTAGGTACACTAAAAACTGAAACGGGGGTGTTAATTAATGAAGACCAGGAAAAGGCAGGAATTTTAAATAACTTTTTCTCCTCCGTATATATTAAGGAAGAACCCATGGCAATAGATGTGCAAATGATTGCTACTAAAAACTTGCAGAATAATTGTAATTGGTTAACTCAAGACAAGGTGCTGCAGCAACTAAAGAAAGTTAATATAAACAAAGCTCCAGGGCCTGACGGTATCCATCCACGTGTACTTAAGGAACTAAGTGCAGAAATAAGTGAACCTCTGTTTTTAATCTTTCAAGATTCTTTTCTTTCAGGAAGTGTTCCGGAGGATTGGAGGAAGGCAGATGTGGTTCCTATATTCAAAAAGGGTTCAAAATCCTTGCCTGGAAATTATAGACCTGTGAGCTTAACTTCTGTGGCTGGTAAAATATTTGAAAGGTTATTAAGGGATAATATTCAAGAATTCCTTGAGAAGAACATGGTTATCAGCAAAAATCAGCATGGTTTTATGAAGCACAGGTCATGTCAAACTAACTTGATTGCGTTCTACGAAGAAGTAAGTAGAAGTATAGATCAGGGT